ATATTATGTGTGAGAATTGGTGGAGATAAAGTAATAATAAAATAATATGCTAGTTGATTTTAGTTGGATGATTTAATAATTGATTTTGTTTTTGATTTATTTTAAAGGTAGAGAGTTAGGAGGAAATTGATTATGAGGGTAGGGAGTTAGAAGGAAGAAATTTTAATGAGGGACTGACAAGGAAATCAAATTTAGCTTTAGGGATTTTTGAGGAACTCTCCCTTAAAAAAATTCCAAAAAAAATAAATAATTTTTTTTTTTTCTTTTAGAATTTCTAATGATGGTGGCCTGCATTTAATAAATAAATAAAATTGGTTAAAAAAATTGTATATTCACGAATAAAATTTGCAAATAAATAATGATTACTATTGATAAGTTTGAAAGAAAGGTCTATGCAGAGTGAAAGATTTTTTAGATCTTTTTCTACAACGTAATAGTGATGTATTGAAGGAGAAGATTAGAAATATAAACATTAGTACTCATCTTCCCACAAATATGTTGCTATCTAAAAGAAAATGTATTTAGATGAGTGTGATGCATAACCATCTGGATACACATAATTTACCAGTTTTATTATAAAGCCAACAGTTGACTCTACAGTGGAGTCAACTTTCTATATACAACAAGTAGACCTACTATATTCACTGATTACTTAAATAACATTAATATAATATTATTAATATAGTAGGTTTACTTGTTGTATAACAAAGATTGACTCCACTATAGAACCAACCGTTGACTTCATAGCAAAACCGCATAATTTATTTAAATAATTAGTACATTTAGAGAGGTATGACAAATCAAATAATAGAAAGATTATGACACGTCCCGTGATATTTTTGTGGGGTGTTTAATTTGTATTTAATAGCGTGGAATCTTAGCCATCCTAACAAATTATGGTATTTTAGGTATTTTAACAATTGGTTGAGTTGTTATATTTTTTTTTTAAAAAAAAATAATGTAATGTTATATTTTATAATTTATATATCCACATTGCTGAAAAATATCTCGTTGATTATATTGTATTGCAAAGTTTTATTACAACTATGTACACTTCATAAATATTATGGTCTTATACTTGGTTCTCGATTAATTTCGTTTAACTATAACGGGCAGTTGATTCGTAATCATCCAATGTTAGGAGCGCTTATCTCCCTATTTTTTTCGTCTTTTTTATGTAGTATCTAACTCGATTTTCATCTGACTATTTGATCTTAGTTTCTTTTTTTTTAAAAAAAAAAAAATGTCACAACATTGTTTATATTATTTCTATCGATTAGGCTGGTCAACTTATCATATTTTTTAAAACAAATATATAGGCTTATATTATAAAATGTGGCAACATTGTTTATATTATTTCTCTAAAAAGCATGATAATTCAATATTAAAAATTGAATCTTTATTGAAAAAATGTTACTGCATAGCAATTAGTTATGCCTAAACATTAGCTACATATAACAAACCTTACCATTATGCAAATACCACTATTATAGCAAATGCAAACTCACTTTTATCCCTATTGACAATTTGATCATACTTCAGTCTTCATAAGCCAACAAAAAGGCCAACAAAACTAGAAATTATGCTCATCCCCACATAAAAGTCATAAATCACTTTACTAATTGGGAGGTACAATTTAGTCAAGAGGTTATATATTATCCTATCCAATTTCAATCCTCAAAAGTCCATTATTTTAAATCGTTTCTTAATTGGGACGTGAAGAATATTAAACAGGTGGGCCCAAGAAAATGGGCCGCTCAAAGAGTGTGGGCCCACAACGCCAGCTGCGCAGTTACGATTACTCGAAGTTCTATTTTTGTTCTCTCATAGAAGATGCTGCGGTGTTGTTAGAGGAATCATTCATCGATTACAAACTCCGACTGAATAGTTTCGAATCATTATGTTAGAGTTTGTAATTTTAGATCAATTATCCCCAACGATTACATGATGATTCATCGGTTACAAACTTCGACAAAATGGTTCGGTGACGTAGTATTTACCCTCTTTCAGTCTTCCTCTTTATTGAAAACTTGAAAGTTGAAGTTGCCGAGATCTGAATTCTCTCTCTTATTTCTCTCCCCACTCACAACTCACAAGACTCGATTTCTCTTCTAAAATACTTTATTCAGAACTTAGAAGAGTT